TAAATCACATGATCTTAATAATATAATGCAAGACTTTTATTAAAGCCCTACAAAAATTACAAAACTATGATTTTCCAAACACTTATGAACGGTTCGAGGCTCGTGTCTCCACAGGTCACAGATTGGTCAGAAATTCAGGTTCAGTTACAATCAGACAGACAGAATTTAAATAGTTGGTGTCACATAAATATGATTAAAGTAAATTAAAGAGAAAACACTGGAGTGAGTTCACTGAATATATTTATTAATCGTATTTTAAAACAGAACACATTTGATTAGACAGCTTTAGATTCATGTCCTGTTTATGGACGACTCAGACGTTTAACTTCCTCTTTTTAAGATAAGCAACTTTTTTTTTCCTTTTCCCCAAGAAAAAGAAAAAAAGCTTCTTGAGTTTCTGTTTATACCACAAACAGCTCAGACAGTAACGGTCACTATGTGCAGCACAAAACTTTAAAGACAGCTACACATGACTGAAACGACGAACATGTTAAAATTTCATGTTTCAGACTCTCAGCTGTGTCGATATAATGAGTTTAATTTCTGCCACTGACACCAAGTGAAGCCCGCCCTCTTCCTCTGATGAGGTCTTTCCACTTTTTGTGCAAACACTGTTGGATCACTGAATTCATGAAGATTCATGTGATAAAGCCATTCTAAAATACATCAATAATAACACTGAACTCTGATTTAAGTCTTGAGCCAGCCTTATTTTCTATCTTTGTTGCCTCCAAGCACTCAAACTTTTCATTTTAAACTGAACAATATTTCTCCAGATTAAATTTTTTATCTCTTAAACCTATTTTTAACACATTCCTAGTACCCGACCCATGAATTATTAAGGCATAAAAAGGAATTTACTCATAGGAACCTCGTGTAAACACACTGTCGATGCTGTAAAAGCATATTTTGACAGGAAAACACTTATTTGACTCTCAGTCATGGACAGCCGCTACACATTAGTGAGAAGTTACTTTGTATTTGAAGAGATGGGAAAGCATTGCATGGATGAGCTTGCATCAGCTTGACCTTTTAACCAGGAGGTCAGCTCCTCATCGCCCTCTGCTGGTGACTTTATGAGATGAGCTGTTTCATATAAAGTATCAGCCTCCTCACTGATTTCTTACTTACTTGCATATTTGTCACATTTTATTTTCTCATAACATCAAACATTAATTTTAGATATTATATTTTGGCATTTTGTCTTTATTGGATGCAAACAGTTAAAATAGACATGAAGCTGACAGATTTGCTGAATCAAGAGTCACTGAAGTAGAACGTGTCCGACAAAGTGCAGCAGGATAAAAATGTCTAAATGCAACACATGAAGCCACGATCTACAGAAGAGCCGAGAAACAAAGTCACTGACATCTATCAGACTGGGAAGGTCACAAAGTCATTTCGGAGGCTCTGGGACTCCAGTGAAGTATGATGAGAGTCGTTATCCACACATGGAGAACACGTGGCACAGTGGTGTTCATGCTCAGGAAAGTGTAGTGAAACAGGCCTCCGAAGATCAGCATTGATCGGTGCAGGTTATCAAAAAGACTGATTGTTGCTGTTGCTGCCAACACACTCGCACAACCAGTTATTCAGTTTAGGAGACACGTGCTGTTTCACAGCACTGTAGAGCACACAGAAAGTGAACCCCTGGATAACAGATCTCTTTATTTCAAATCACGTCTTTGTTTAAAATAAAACAGTCAGATTATGGCTCAGACAGCAGCAGCTTCTCTCCTACACTCCTACTTTATATAAAATCATTTTTAACCAAGTTTATATACATCTGTCAAATTCTTTTATTTGAGTTTATTCAGTATTTAAACATATTTTGTATCATTTAACATCCCACATTTATAAAACTCACACAAAACTCTTTGGTTTCATCCTGTTGAAAACCTGCGTTGTGACTGAAGTTCTGCAGGATTAAAGTTCATCTCTTCATCAACACAGTTGGTCTGACTAAGTTTAAACTCCTGAGCTCTAGTTTAGGATTATTATTTGATCCTGATTATTGGATTTTTATTTGGTGAGTTTTATCTGGAGACCCCGACTCAATTTTCTGAAGATTGAACTCCAACGACAAACAGGAGCAGCAGTGACAACAAGAAAAAGGAAAAGAAGAAGAAACACACCAGAACCTGATAGATGATTCATCTGTCCTTTAGAT